ATAAGAGGGTCATCTGACATTTGATCAATGGATCAGGGAAGCTGAACAAAACCCTGATCGAGATGAGGGTCATTGATCTGGAAGCTAAAGTACATTATTTGTTACAGGCACACGTTCTGCTCATTACGCGCGCCGTGCGTAATTTTCTTAATGAGCAATATCCTGGCGCATGGAAAGGATGGGCAGGACTGAGGGCACCCGCACCAGATCGTGGCTACATATATTTTGTTTTGAGGGGCCATATGGGAACACTTATTTATAAAAGCCTGTGGTCAATTAGGCAGAACATTATCACAGACTTGTGGCTGCGTCGAAAGCGATTCCTGGCATGCCTGAAATCTTCGGCATAGTGAGATAATGGTATTGGTTATCAAATTTGTATGCATATAAATGTAAATAACTTCGAGAAACTGCTCAAATATATTTCTAATATTTTCTAAATTTTAACTATAGAGTGCATATATTTTGCTCACGACAGCAATGCCAAGAAATATTTCCTTCAGTTTTCTTGTTCCTTTTGAGTAGTAACTAAGCGTGACCAACACCTATGTCCTGCGACAAAACTGCTTATATTGGCCCCACTATCTCCACTGTTTGTGCACATAGTGCTGTTACACTGAGGAGGACCCTGTCAAATGGACTAGTTAATCTCAAGCTAAAATTGCGCATTTTGTAAAAAAAAATGTTTAAAAAATAATGCCTTCGTACTAAAACCGAAGTTAAAAAGTTCAGATCTTGAACAATGTGTTTCATAATATAGACTTGGTGCTGTAAAAATCATTTTAATATAGCTAAGTGTTTATTAACAATCAAATATTTATTAATTTAATAGTGTAATACTGAATTGTGAAATCAGTTTTCGTTTGCAGTTTGATCTGCCCTTTAATGGGCTACCTTCTGCAGTCACCACGTCTCTACTGTCTTCACTTACATCCCGATAAGACACACAATGTTAGAAGGAGTATTTATATGTGTATAATCACAGAGTAGCAGCTGTATTGCTTCTTTTATGTATCTAGATTGTAAATACAGCTCGTTATGTTGAAATCTGAGGTTACTTAACCCCCATGTTCTCCATTTGTGCTACGCTAGAAGGTTGAGATATGAACAACAAATTGATACATAACCGCGGCCACTGTATTTATTTTGCTTGACCATCATGTGGTGCAAAAGAAAACAGAAACCACATATTATAAAATCATGTAGATGATTATTCAATGCTTCCAATATGTTTAGAAAGGCAGAGTACCAGGTGCGTGATTCTCAGCCGCTCTGTATGACGCGCCAGACATATGTTTGCATTAGTGCATGTTTACTTGGAATTGAGTATAATTAAGATAGATGTGCATATTCTACATGCTATTCTTAATGTGTTGACGGTGGCGTGGTGGTTACTCAACAGTCTCACTTTTTTAACGCACATCATGTACGTTTGGGGACATGATTTATGTTTTCTTCGCCGAAATCTACAATATGAGAACTCCTTGGCAGTTCCATTGCGTCTTTGAAACTTTCCGTCATCTTGTAGCTTGGGTGTCCAGGAACGCTGGAATTTTGGTTCTAGAATGAAACTATTTGCACTTTAAAAACAATAATTTAAAAGGTATTCTTTTTTAGAGATTGCTTTGTGGTGAGGAAAATCATTTGGATCCTTCTATTACATTTTTGAAGTATTGGCTCTTCTAAGTTTTCTAGCTATTTAGAACTTCCGTTCCTTCCCCCGGGGGAGGAAATGCATCATCCGCTGTTATAACGTTTTAAAAAAATTTCGTAAGAAAAAGTTCTTAGATTCTTTTTTTTTATTTTCCAGTTTAAGTTACAGATTAACGTGTGGGAAGAAAGTGGGGAAACGTACAAAAAAATGTACGGGAAGTGGTGGGAGCCCGAGTTACGATTCTTATGAAGTATTGTAGAAAATGAGACCTATTCGATCCTTGTGTTATATTTTTGGTAGTCTTTCTAATTGCTCACTACTCCGCATTATTAGTCAGAAACGAACTGAAACTCTCTCTAAAAGTAAAGTATCTAATAAAAGACCCGCCATGGTGACTTAAATTGCTTTAATGTAGAGTTCAGGATCTGACCATTGAAAGTTGAGATACAGTATGAAACATGGAGAATCCTTAACGATCATAAATAATATATTGGAGTCAGGTTAACGGGGGGGGGGTCAGTAGAAGCAGAACGTGTTGCTCCTACTGACCGAAACCCGTTAATCTGAGTCCAATATGGAGTATGAAGCTATCATTTAAAATAATGATTTACAAAGCGCAGAATGTTTGGAGGGGTCCAGGTAGTGATATTTTTATTACAAGTAATCCACCATTTATTACAAGTAATGCATCACATGTTACTATGTCACTCGCGCGCGAGATGGGTTCTCAAAAGTATGAAAACATTCCAGAAAACAATTTCATATTACGGGTCAACATCGAGATTACAACAAATCGATTCAATGTGCTGAGTACATTGATGTCAAAAAGTTAAATTTCCGACGTTCGGAATTAAGTCGTGAAGACATTCAAAACTTATCCTCCTTCGGAAGCGAATGTTTCATCAGTAAAAAATTTGATTTTATAGAAAAATGAAACACCATACTACCATGATTACATTGTATTTATTTTGTTTTAATGATATTAAAACATTAGACGTTAAACATTTCTTTGAAATGAAGTTGAAAGTTACAAGCTCTTATAGGCATGCGGCATCTGAAAAAAGTACTGTCTAATTGAGCATTGAAATATATTATGTTTACAAAATGATAATAACTACAAGTTATTATTTCTTCTCTCATGTATGTCTTTCCATCTACATATGTTTTTCTTCATTGCTTGTACTATATTGAATCGCTATCTAAGATGGATGAAGATTCATGCCTTCTCCGTGCTGTCGCAAGGTCAACACAAATATACAGGGAAAGCAAGGGTCAATGTCTTTCTCTAACCGTGACAAATGGACAGTACGTTACAAGGATAGAGTGGTGAAAAAGAGAGAAAAGGCTGGCGCCGAATAGCCGTGCTGGCAGTCGCAATATTGGTAGCGCCTCCAGACTATCACCTGCACGTGCGCTGTGACCAGGCGACAGCTTTCGACTGCAGGCTGCCCGCTTAGACGAGTTAGAGAGCGCCCGCGAGGCTTCGGATAGTTCTGACGTCATGATGTGCGCCACACATGTCGGCCGGTTATAATCATCCCCTGCTGTTGTGAGCAGTGGTTAGTGAGTGAAAAGCAAACGTACGTTGCTTGCAGGATATGTGTGTCCGCCACGCACGAGAAAGGTCTGGTGGATTGACGCGCAAACTGCTCCAACAGCAACGGTTGGTGTCAATCGGGGGTCTGACAGCAAAAATGTGAAAAATTTGACATTTTAAAAACTTAGATTTGTTAAATTATTTAGACACTTTAGAACAGAGTAATATGGATTTTATTCCAAAAACCAATTTTAAAAATGGGTTTTTAAAATGTTTAAATTTCTCTCTGCAGTAGGTCGGGAGATGTCTCTTTTGTTAGTCTGTCTTGATTTTTTGTTTTTTTCGGTCAACGTAATTATCTAGATGACTGTGACTTATGTAGGTAGATTCTTAGTTGAATTGTTGTTCTTAAAACTACCCACTCTTATTTCCCCACAAAGAAAGGAATATGATCTCTCAATCTTTAAGTCGACCCCCTTTGGGATCGCATGACCCTGCTACTTCTTCTTATCCGCCCGCGGCCACTTCCAGTACTGAGCGGCAACACTGAGGAATTGCTCCGTTTATAAAGCGCTAAGTGCTTTCTGAATAATGCGCCTCATTAGTGGCAAGATAAATAATAAATTGTGTTTGAAAATGGTGTAAGGGAACGATATATCCTTCGGCACTTCTATACTTTTTTCTATACTACTCTAATTTCTATAATTCTTTCTTATTTCAGTGTGCACTAGCACTTAAACTGCAAGCCTCTATGATTTGACTTGCATATGGTGGAATTGTGGTATGGCTGTTGCAAGCCGTTTCTGAATTGTCACCCGAGTGGAAGATTGAGCTTCGGAGCGAAGCGCTCAGTGGAGCCTCTCCCGCCGCATATCGCCTCCGCCACTCGCCTTCTCCCCTCCCCGCCAGAGGCGCCACCGCCACCGCCACCCGCCCTCCGCCTCAATAAGCCGAGCAATGGGATGTTTGAACCGCGAAGGCTGCGTGCTTCGGAGACTCGCGCACTGCACGCGCCCCGCCGCTCGCGCCCGCAACACTTACCCTCCCCTCCCCCCGCGCGCCACGCCCCCTCGCTGCTCTGGCCTGCGGTCCCGTCCCGACTTAAACGCCCCCCTCCCCACCGCCCCCTCCCGCGCACAAACCCCGCGCCATGCCTCGCCTCTACCGCCTACGCACGCCGTCCCGTCCTTCCGCCACCTCGCCTGAAACCGCTGGCGCCTTTAGCCCTCGAACGCCACAATGGCCCAATATAGCATGGATGCGTCTTGAGTGCTTCCCAGAGTTGTTCTGTTGGTATTCTTTCTACAAAGAATGTGTAACGAGCAACATAATACTTTTTAAGAATTTTCTCGAGGTTTGTTTGTTTACGCATGTCTTTTTGTGATGAGCAAGGTGTCAGAATTCGAAGGGGGAGGGGGGCTTGTGGTTTAGTGGCTTCAACTTGTTTTTCAAGAGCCCTGAGTTCGATCCCAGGAAAAATCCATGAAGAATTTGCGGTACACAAAACGGGCTCTCGTCAGGTTTCCTTGAGATTTTGCCGTTTACTATATCTGTCATCATTTCTCCACCACAATCCACAATTATCGCTATCATCTTCTGAAGGGTCTTCATCTTCTTCTTCGTTGAAGGGTCACTAAACTACAATAAACAAACTAACGCCTGACTTCGTGTTGAGAGGGCTCATTCTACCCCTTTTCCGTTCACTGGCTAAATAAAAGCATTGGAAAATATTTTGTAGTGTGCTTTTTTATAAAAAGTATTCAAAGTGCAATTTTAGCTTACGGTTCTATTGATGTCTTTATGTTGCAGTTTTGTTTCGTTTCGTTTCGTTTCGCTCGGCGCCGTTGGGTGGACGTTGGGCCAGCGTGCGTACGCCCCCTCCCCCCGCGCCACGTAGGGCGAAGGGACGCGAATAAATCGCCCCTCCCTGATTTATGCTCAGCGCCGGGCGGGAGGGAGCGCGCGCCTGTGAAATACAGAAGCCCTGACTCTCTGGACTACCCCTCTTCTCCCCCTCCCCCACCCTTTTCGCGCTTTTCCCCTCCCTCGACACACTCCTCCTCCTCCTTTGATATCTCTATATCTGGCACCCGTATAAATCATAGGATCTCGTTTCCTTTGGGATAATTCGTAAAAGTAATTACAGTTATTGTAAGAAGACAAAGAACGCGAGAAAAAATAACCTATGTATATTCAACATTGTTATTTTGGTAAATGAGAATTTGTTAAAGTGTAAAGCAGCATTAATTCAAGTAGCATTAAAGTGGTGATGCAACTCGAAATAAATGAAATCGTTGTTTTATTGTTAGATTAAATTTATATTGACTGCGAAGAAGTAGGATTATGCTATAGTTAATGACAATTATTAAAAATACAATTACATTAAAAATAGAATAATAATGTCAACAATACTAATAATTATAAATTGTAATTGTAATATAATGCAGTAATATTAAGATAATTATACAATGATGATGATGATGAAAATAATAAGGCATATATAAAACAACCCGCCCTCGTTAAATAGGCTTCAATGTTCCTTTGCGTGCGCCATTGTTTGCAGAGGTTTTGAGGCTGGTGGCCAACTAAAATGCGCCCGCCTCCTTAT